GGAAGGGAAGGGAAGGGAAGGGAAGGGAAGGGAAGGGAAGGGAAGGGAAGGGAAGAGGTATTCCCTCTCTTCCCCATAACTGAAGTTTGGAAAACAAGATGAAGATCAAGCATCCCACATGGATTTCATCTCTGCCCAGGAGAAGTTCACTGTGCCTCGATGCTCTGAGCTCTGTTAACTGTCTGAGGAAGGAAAAATAACCCAGCATTTTCAGGATGATTCATTCATTTTTCTTTATTAATTTTTCTCTCAGCACAAAAGGAAAGAAAACCACAAGGAACACCTGGAGAATGAGCAGGAGCCATTTGTCAGTGCCACAAAAGGCATCCAGAAAGGGCTTAGATCTATTGAACACCTCAAGAAATGCTTCACACATCCCCAGTCACATTAGGCAGGAACAGATTGGGTTCATTTTTATGATTTTGTTTTACCTTTCCCAGCTCTGATAAACCAGGACACGGCAAAAAAGACAGAGGCAAAATTGCCTCAAAGCCCCAGGAGGCGAGGACTCAGAATGCAGTGAAAGCCAAGTGTTTATTGTGAACTACAACGTGCTTTATCTGAGCAGAAAAGGTTCTGACAAGATGTGGTTGATGCTGCACAAGCACAAACTACGAAAAGGACTCCACTGTATCCAGTCTCAGCTGGCAACTGGAAGAAACTGCACTAACTCTACTCACTGTTGCTGTCATTTGGAGACCTTGAGGCAAGACAGTACCTGCCTCTGGTAAGACGCCTCTTTTAGCACAGCTAGAAGTTATGGACAAGATGCAAGAGCCCCTGAGTGAAGCCCTTAGCCCCATCTTCTACCCTCCCTGATGGAATCCGTTGTTCATTCCACATATTTCCCTCTTTTTCTTGAATAATTTATTATTTTTCACAGCTAAACTTGCTTTTATTACTCCAGCGATTGCAGGGCCAGCAGAAGCATGTGCAAAGCAAAGGAAGGATGCCCAGAGGGGTTGTGCTGCCTCCATCCTTGAAGTCTTTTAGGACCCAACTAGATATAACCCTGCACAAACTGGCCTAACACTAAGCCACTTCATATCTTAGACCTTGAAGCACACTTCCATGTGCATGGTGTCATCAGTGCAGATTTAAATGTTCTGTAACTCTTATTTTCCTCTTTCCTCTTCTCTATCAGGTCCTCCAGAAAGTAAATGTGCCACATGTGGAAACCATGAATTGTCATTCAAAAAGCATGAATTATCACTCAAAACCATTTAAACCCCACTGTAGCATTCGCTCAGCTCTGCCATTGTTATGGGAGAGATGGGAACAGAAGAAGTGCAATGTCAAGACATCTTTCTTAGTTTGCTGAGCCCTTTTTCCTTCTGGTTGTGTTACCTGCTGAATCTGGGTTGGATTTAGGTCATTGTATTGGATCCCATCCCTGGCAGTGTTCAAGGCCAGGTTGGACGCAGGGGCTTGGAGCAACCTGCTCTAGTGGAAGGTGTCCCTGCCCGGGGCAGGGGTTAGAGCTGGAGGAGCTTTGAGGTCACTTCCAACCCAAACCATTCCATGGTTTCCTCCAAGCTTGGTGAGGGTAAACACTCTTGGGAGGAGTTTACAATTCCTGTTTCCTTTTTGCTTTGTGACAGTACCTCAGAGTCTCCTACAATGTGCTATGTGTCGTACAAAGAAAGGACAGTCCAGCACCAAGGACTCTAAGTGGTCTAGTGTGAGGATACAGGAGACAGCAGCAGAGCACAGGTCACTGGGCAGTTCTGTCATAGATACGAATTAAACTCAGGATCTTCCTCTGTATCTGTCTGGTCCTCACCCCATAGATGATGGGGTTGAGCACAGCAGGCACAAGGATGTAGACGTTTCCCGTGATGATGTGGACCAGCGGAGCCAGGTCCTTCACAAACCTGTGCACCACGGACAGCCCGATCAGGGGCACGTAGAAGGCCAGGACCACGCAGATATGGGCAACGCAAGTGCTGAACACCCTGACCCTCTCCTTCCACAATGCCAGACACAAGACAGCCTTGAGGATGAGGATGTAGGAGAGGCAGATGAGGATGGCGTCCAGCCCCATGACCAGCAGGATGGCAGTGAGGCCGTACACCACGCTGGGGGTGGTGTTGGCACAGGCCAGTTTCATCACATCCTGGTGCAGGCAGAAGGAGTGTGACAGCATCCGGGAGCTGCAGAATGGAAGGGGCAGGAGGAGCAAAGGCAATGGCAGGAAGAAGAGGACTCCCCGGGGCATGGCTACCAGCCCTATCTTGGCTGTCATGCTGTTGGTGAGGATGGCAGCGTGTCTCAGCGGGTGGCAGATGGCCACATACCGGTCCACTGCCATGGCCAGCAGCACAGTGGACTCGATGGCCGAGAGGGTGTGGATGAGGAACATCTGGACAAGGCAAGCACCAAAGCTGATCTCCCTGGTGTTGAACCAGTAGAAGGAGAGGATGCGTGGCACTGTGGACGTGGACAAGGCCAGGTCGATGGCAGCCAGCATGCAGAGGAAGAAGTACATGGGTGCATGCAGGCTGGGCTCCATCTTCACGATGAACATCACTGCGCAATTCCCGGTGACCTCCAGGATGTATATGGAGCACAGGAGGATGGACATCCAGAAATGGGCAGCCTCCAGCCCTGGGATACTGGCCAAAATGAAGGAGGATGGGCTGAGCTCAGAGCTGTTAGGGAAGGGCATGGCACGTGGGGAGAAGAGCAGCCATGCTATGCCATGGCACATCCCCTGCTGCAAGGGAAAGAGAAACAGCAGCTTTAGTAATCCTTTCCCATAATTGGGAATCCCACAGGGTTGTGCCTGGGAAATCCAAAGGAATCTTTGAGTTGCCACAATGCAGAGAGCTCTTCTCCTGTTCTTTCAGCGCACTATGGCTATATACAATAACACATGCAACCACAAAATGCTGGCATGTGAATCTGAACAGGAATTGCTTGGATACTCTGAAATACGGAAGACTAAAATCTACGTTATAAGTGATAATCCCAAGAGCTGAACTAGTTTTCTTTTACTTTTAAAGGGCAAAATGAGAAAGCCCAACAGATTTTTGGTGTTTCCTGTTAAACTTCAGTTCTCCTTCATCTTTTCCATAGGTGATGTGCTGCCCTGCCAGAAATGATCTCTGAGGAACTGGCTGAGCTGCCTCCCACAGTCCAGCACTCCCGACTGCTGCAGGGAGATGACGCGTATTCATTTGTCTGCACACACAAATTGGATTTTCATCTTTTCTGTCTGAAAACAGATGGAATATCAGTGGAGAAGAGAAGAAAATCTGATTATCCACCTCACTGTGTGTCTGTAAATCTTCCAGGAGTGCCGTGATCCGAGGAGAACAGGCAGGGATATGAAGCCTTTGCTCCAGGTGCTTTTCTACTCCCAGGGATCAGATTTATTTAAATAGTGGGATGGAATATCAAAAACTGATGCAATGACAGTGTCAGCCCCAGCCTGGCTTGGGAGTACTTACACAGGGACATTTAAACTGAAACAGGGGAGATTCAGGTTATATATAAGGAAGAAGCTCTTCCCTGTGAGAGTGCTGAGGTGCTGGCACAGGGTGCCCAGAGAAGCTGTGGCTGCCCCATCCCTGGCAGTGTTCAAGGCCACGTTGGACACAGGGGCTTGGAGCAACCTGCTCCAGTGGAAAGTGTCCCTGCCCGTGGTGGGGGGTTGGAGCTGGGTCAGTTTTAAGGTCCCTTCCAACCCAAACCTTTCTATGATTCTAAGCACATAACTGCTGTCTGCAACGTCACTGAGCTTTCTGATGATTTCCTCCCTATCCATGTAAAAGAAGGATGCAGAATGTTTTATGGCAAGCTCTGCAGGCTGTTGATGCACTATTTTTAAAGTAACATTCATCTATGCAAACAATTTTAATCTTTTTTACTGAACATTTGTGGCAAAGCCCTTCTCCTGAAATAGCAATCCTGATTTATTTCCCTGGTGTGGGGGGTTTCCATCTTGAGACTATAATAAATAACTTATGCTCTAGATTTTAATACACAATTCACACGCAGCGCAAGTGAACTGTTACTCACAAGTCATGTAAAAGCTATTTGAGTGATGAAATCTCCAGCAAACCACTTCCGTGAAGGTGGAAATCGAATGAACAAAGCACTTCAGTGATTGCCAACAAGTATCTGAGCCAAAGTCCCTGCCAGCTGCACAAGTGTGGTTACAGCATGAGGGTCATCATAAAGCATCCGAGGGAATGTGGCTGTGAAGGGCAGGAGCTTGAAGTCAATAGTCCCTGGATGTTCTAGTTCATCTTTACTTCTTTGGCATCACTAAATGCAGAAGTGACTGATGCGTTTGGGTTGCTATTGAAGATTGGGGTGAAGGGCAGGTTCTGTACAGTCCTTTCCTCCTGTAGAGATGGGAACTGGATCCATGTCTTTACAAACCCAGTAAAGGCAGACTTGTTTTCCTAGGGTGATCCTCCCCCCAGCAAGCTCCAGTAACTGCATGTAAGGAGAGGTGAGCGTATTCAGACAGCAAACCCATCCAACTGGAGGACCACAAGCAGCAGCCACAGCAGCTGATCTCTAAATGCTCATCAACAGTGACCAGACTTTGTCCCATGGAACCAGAACTGGTGCAAGACCAACTTCCCAGACGGAGCAGGCAATGGGACTGTCTTGACCATCTGAATCCATCTCTCCACTGCAATGTGGCAGTAAGAGAGGAATGTATGTACCCCCTCAAAAGGAACCGTTTTGAATATGTAGCCATTTCTCTGTATCATCTCACCAGAAATAAAAGTATAAACCAAAGTTTAAAAGTATAAGCCAAAATTTGCTTCAGAGGGAAAAGAGAAGAGAAAAATTAAAACCAGAAGGAATCACTCAAATTCAAAGCATTTTCCAACCAAAACTGAACTCATCTTAATCGATGCTTTGATCAAATATGTAGTTTGGGGGATTTTATTTCTTGACTGTTTGTCATCACTTGTAAGCACAAAAGCAGAACCTGCTCATAGCTCTGCTGCCCAGTCCTGGCCAAGCCACTCGCTCTGGGCAGGCACTTGCTGTATTGGGATCCTTACAAGCTATGCCTGCACTAAAGTGAGCAGGACATGGCTGGAACGTCATCCCACCATCATCTGCACGATTAACCCATTCCTCAACATCCCAGGCTACTTCCAGCTCGCCCTCCATCAGGAATGAAGGAGCATGTAGCACCAGGCAGGAAATAGCATCCCCTGGGTGTGGAGTAAAGCCCTCGTCCTTAGGAAACGAAGAAGGAAGAGCAGTGGAGCTTCCTGTAGGCCAGGAGGCACCAGGGGTCTCCAGGACAAAGAATTATCCTTATCCCTCTTTTAATTATAGTGTGGACACAGCCACAGAGCGCAGTAGGGTCTGCAGCATCGCTCTGCGTGCAGGAGGGTAACAGGAGAGTTTCCTAGGGCAGAGGAGATAGCGCAGGGCTCAGACAGGGCTCGAGATACGAGGAGTTGGCTGTGGGAACCAAATAGAGATGGGAGGAATGGTCTTCCTCCTCCTTCTCCTTCTCCTTCTCCTTCTCCTTCTCCTTCTCCTTCTCCTTCTCCTTCTCCTTCTCCTTCTCCTTCTCTTTCTCCTTCTCCTTCTCTTTCTCCTTCTCTTCCTTCCCCTTCCCTTCTTCCTGTCCCCATCTCCCCTTCCCCCCAATCTCCCATTCCCTTCTTCCCCTCCTCTTCATATCCTTCTTTCCTCCTCCTCCTCTCTGCTATGCCTCTGATATGTCTCACACTGCTCTTCCTGTGCCTGTCAGGAAATAAATCCATTGGCAAATACTGTCAGTGATCCCATGGCACAAAGAGGAGAGCTCAGGGCATCACAGAATAGGAATTAGCAGCTTCAAGTGTTTCATCTCTCTTCTCCCACACAGATGTTAAACCACAGTTCCGAAAGGCAGCCAGAAAGGCTTTTGAAAGTGTTCCTATAAGACAGTACCTTATGCAGAGGTTCCCAAATCTCAGCCGTCTGCTTGTATCCTGTAACTTCACAGGCTGGGAAGCAAATGGAGTGGCAGATGAAGCTCTGCTGAAGTGGGTGATGCCCCACATCTGCAACCCTCACTCCACTGTGGTCTCCATCTCAGCTCATAAATGGGCTGATGTATCTCCTACACATTTCCCCCCAAACCTTTGCTTGCTGTGGCAGAGGCTCCTTGGGCCTTTGCTGTTTCAGGGAATGGCTGAGCTGAGAAGCTCAGACACCCAGGGAGCAGCTCTGGAAGTTTCAGAATGGGAGCAGCACTGCGTGAGGATCCTCAAGACAAGCATCACTCCAGCAAAGCTCTACTCTAGGCTTTTCTACAGAGCGTTGTGTTTGTTCCCTTGTGTTGAGATCTTCCCTCTGACAGTAGCTGGCTACGAGCATGGGAAAGACCTTAGATATTAAGAGTGAAGTGCACTCCCATTGGGTGCTACCTCAGTGCAAAGGGACCTCCACCCAAGACCTGCTGTGCCAAGGCTCAGGCAGAGGTTCTGGGGCTGTGCTGAAGAGTATTTCACCTTGTGCAAGGGCCAGCTGGGATCCTCAGCAAAATAACTCACACAACACAAACAAACAGTGTCCTGGGAATCATCCCCTTGGGAAGGTTCCCTTCTACCTTTCCCTTTTTTTAATGGAGATGCTCCCTCATTATTCTTTTCTCTCTCTTCCAGATGCTGGTTTACGTAGAGCAGAACAGAAAGACTAATCCTGGGTTAGTGTGAAGTGCTGAGCAGGCAGAAACAGGTGTGTAATCCTGTCCTGAAACCTTCTGCTGCCTCACCCCTCCAAGGTGAACATGGGCCATTTCCTCTTATTCTCCACCATGGTCAATACTGGCCAAAATATGACTTAAAATCGACAAAAACACAGCTCTGTAATTTGGAGGCATGAAAGATTTGGGGCCATTTTATTCTGTCTGTGGGAGGGTGGAAGACACAGGGATCATGAAACTTTTCTGCACACCTGGCCAAGACCCAGCCTATAGCACAGCAATAGGATGCTGGGATGTATCCTGTCACCTCCCGCCCCTGGATATCTCCTCCTCCCACTCCTCTGAAGGGTTCAGTCAGTGCATGGCAGGTCTCAGCTGGAGGACTGCATTATGTGGCCTTTAATGCCAGGAAGTTTAACCATTCCTATTACGCTTTTTTCACCACACCAGACCCCCAAGCACCATCCTGATGCAGACTTACTTCATACAATATTTCATACATACTCCATACAATCCTTTGCTCATCTACAGCAAATCCTGAAGATTTTAAGCAACTCCAGTCTGATATGTCTGTGTCATATAAACAGAAAACAAAATGGCTTAATCAAGTCTTTTGACCTTTCACAATGAATAGATGTTGTTTTATTGAAGACACTGCACACACACACCACATTCAATGCAAAACAATGGCTGGAACTTGAGATTGGGCAACATGGTAGGACTCAATGACATCAAAAAGAGATGCAAAACCAGCAGGTTTCCATTACTGTGATAGTATCACACTTCAGAAACACGGATAAAGACTGAGCTTTTCTTTAGAAGGACTGAGAGTGCTGTTTGCCAACTTAACAGGACATAACCCTCAGAAAAAGATCTGTGCTTCTGGAGCTGGGCTCCATTTTGTGGTATGTTTCCAGTTGGACAGTGACTGGGATATTCCGAGTGGCTCCAGACTCCCAGCCCTGCTGAGCTTGCTGCCTGGGTTAGCTATGCCTATGCTGAAGCATGCAGTGATGGAATGATGACCCCATGCAAGGGAGTCTGAGTGAAGCTTACTCCCTGTTATCTGGCTATTAGAGTGAGCTAGCACAACATGCATTGCAGATACTTTATCCACCCCATTGCATGATTTGATGATCTTACAGGTCCATTGATTGTCAAGTCCATTGATTGGACTTTATGATCTTAAAGGTCTTTTCCAACTGAGTTGATTCTATGATTCTCTGACTTGCAAAGAGAAAGCCACGCAGCCCATTTTCCTTTCATTGTCTCCCTCTGATGGGGGCTTCCATCTGTCTAGATCACTGGCATTCATGCTTAGGGAGTTTGCAGGCTGCTGAAAGGGACGAAAACATCATGCTGGGACAAAACATGGAAGATCACAGCTCTGGGTTGAGGGACAGCATTCGAGTGGATCTGCAGTTCTTACGTCTGGAGTGACCTGCGTGGATGGAGCACAAAGAAACCAGTCCACTAGCGCTTTCTGGCAGAACTGGTGGAGGACCTACCAGTCAGATTCACTCTTCTTCCACAGTGCTCTGAGCAAAGCCTCACGGATGTGGCTGGATTTTATGCTGTAGATAATGGGGTTGAGAGCAGGGGGGATAATAAGGTAGGTGTAGGCCACCAAAGTGTTAGCCAGAGGAGGAACATTCTTTCCAAAGCGATGGATCATGGACAGCCCGATCATTGGGATGAAGAACACTAGAACAGCACAGATGTGGGAAACACATGTGTTCAGAACCTTGAGACACTCCTCCTTGGTTGCAAGGCTGACCACAGTTTTAATGATCAGGATGTACGACAGCACAATGAAGATGAAGTCCATCCCCACCGTTGATAAGAGAACAATCATACCGTAGAAGACATTGACTTTTATATCTGCGCATGCAAGGTTCATGATATCAGGGTGGAAACAAAAAGAGTGAGACAGCTCAGTCTTCCCACAGTAGGTCAGTCTCTTGAGCAAGAAGGGGATGGGAAGGAGGGAGACCATTCCTCTCACTATAATTGCCAGACCTATTTTCATGACAGTCGTCTTGGTCAATATGGATGGATGTCTCAAAGGATGGGAGATGGCAATGAAGCGGTCAAATGCCATCGCCAGGAGCACAGAGGATTCAATGAAAGAAAGTATGTGGATAAAATACATCTGAGTGAGGCAAGCATCAAACCCAATCCTTCGTATATTAAACAAAAAAATGCCCAGGGTAGTGGGCAGGGTACAGAAAACCAAGCCCAGGTCAGTGACTGCCAGCATGGAGAGGAAGTAGTACATAGGTTCGTGAAGACTTTGGGTCTTCTTTATGATGAATAGGATCATGCAGTTTCCCAAGAGAGCAGTAAGGTACAGTGCACAGAAAGGGATGGAGATCCAGTGGTGAAAGGCTTCCAGGCCTGGGATGCCCATCATGAAGAAAGCTGAGGGCTGATAGAAGGAGCCATTGACTTCCCCCGTGGTATGTGAGCCATGCTCCATCCCAGCTCAGCTCTCACATGACCTATACCTAAAACAAACCAACAACAGAAACTCCATGTAGTTGGATTCTCCTCTGAGTACAGAAGTGGGTAATGGTAAGTGTTACATCCTTTCACCTCCCCACCAACCTACTCAGGTGACCCATGTTGTTTAGGACACTGGTAAAACTACTACAGTGCCACATAATACTGCACTCTTGTTTATCCATCGAACTATAAAATGGAGGAAAAGGATGAACTTTAAAAGAATAATACATATTTTTTTTTTAAAATAAAAGTGAAAATATTCCTGGTGAGTGCTTCGGGTTTACAGATGTCCCCACATTGCACATTCTACTGAGCGACCAAATGCTTTTTCTACAGCCATCCCAACCCAACGAAGCTGATGAGGTGCTGGCTTCTTTTTGATGCTAACTGGAGATCAAATGACATGAAAATGGTGAATTTTAACTCTGACTTCTTAGTTAAGAAATTAATTGGAAACAAGTGCAAAATATAACAGGGGATCAGGCACGTGGAGGCTGCTGCTCTCAGCTGGCCACCAGGGTAAGGTGGATTTCCAGCGGCTCTCACGTCCAATTTGTTGCTTGTCTAATAATCCACCTCATTGTTTGGTGAAGGGAAATAAATGAGCAAAACCCCACTTGTGAGGTGGCTGTGACTTCATTAATAACAGGCCAAAGCACAAGAAGCTGCAGATTCAGAAGCATTGTGGAGGCATCCATGGAAAGTCTTTGGGTCTGAATCAGAGAGAAAAGGGCACAAGGGATACGGTGGGATTTTCACACAGGGATCAAGAGCATGGGGTCAGTGAGGCCTTTACAGAAACCTGGCAGATGTCTGCTCTGGTGAATTCCACTAAGATGGATGGGATTTTGAGAAATGCCCTAGGGTAAGAGACCAAGGAAAGAGGCCAGCAGAAAGCCACTGAGATGGGTAAGGGTTGGAGCAATGTCCCTGGATAAGAGACCAGAGAAAGAGGCCAATTCAGCCTGGAGAAGAGAAATCTTTGCAGGGACCCACTAGCAGCCTTCCCCTAAGAAGGCTGTGCCAGGCTCTTCACAGCAGTGCAGAGACAAGTTGAAACAAGGGAGGTTTAGGCTGGATATAAGGAGAAATGTTTCCCATGAGCATGGCAAGTGTTGGAACAGGTTGCACAGAGAGGCCGAGCATCTCCATGCTTAGAAGTTTTCAAGACCCAGCTGGATGATGCCATGAGCAGCCTTGTCTGGCCTCGTAGCTGGCCCTGCTTTGAGCAGGGTGTTGGGCTAGAGATCTTCTGAAGTGTCTCCAACCTGAATTACCTGGTGAATCAATGAGGTTTCAGACCTCTTGGAGGACTCAGCCGTCTCAACACAATCCAGGTTCCTACATTTCACATGACAGTGCACCCTAGCAGAGCTGCTGGAGTGATTGATGGGGTCCCCAAGCCCTCTTGTGTCTTCTGTGACAGAATGACTGGCTGGGTGGATGGGGAAAGCAGTGGATGTGCAAAACCAGAACTGATTAAGGGAAAAGAAACATTTGTGGTTTCAGTCTTAATGCACCTTCTTAATGACCATGAGAGGCCAAAGAGTGCATGAGTTGTGAGCAGGAGGGTTTACTCTAACACAATTCATTTTTGAATAAGCACACATATCATCCGTGATGTATTTATTATGTTCCTAATGCAATTTTGCTCCATTAGCCTCTGAGCCTGCTCAAGACTCTAATACAGCAATAAATCCCACAGCTTAGCAAGGATGAATGTCCCTGCTCCAGGGCAAAAGCACCGAGTAACTGATGGGAACCGAGGAAGACCTGGGTCAGTTTATTTCCTCCACTTTATCTTCCTCACCAATTTACAGATTGTTATCAGGAACTGCCTTGGACAGCGTCAGTGTCAGTTGCTGAAGGGACACAAGTCACAGCCCTTCTTCACCATGAGGGTGGTGGGACACTGGCACAGGGTGCCCAGAGAAGCTGTGGCTGCCCCATCCCTGGCAGTGTTCAAGGCCAGGTTGGACACAGGGGCTTGGAGCAACCTGCTCTAGTGGAAGGTGTCCCTGCCTGGGGCAGGGGTTGGGATTGGATGATCTTAAGGTCCTTTCCAACCCAAACTATTCTATGAGTTTATGTTCTGTGATTCAGGAGGTGACACACACGTGGATGGGCAGCCAGCGCTTTCCTAAGCCACTGACAGCAGCTGGCAATGACAGAAGGAAACTGTCCAGAGGTACCTCTGGTCCTAAGGGGCATCTTGGAGCTCCCCAAAGGTAAGAGTTGTCCTTTTCTGCCACTCCAACAGCATCTGAGCAGCGAGAATTAACCAGCAGCCTCCTGCAATTCAGCCTTCACTGGAGGCTGTGTTAGAAACCCCCCAAACCTGTGCATGCCTGTTTGTCCCTAACTGCCTCCCTCCCAGCAGCATCCAGCAGATATCAGAACACTCAAAGTTACTGAGGTTCAAAAGGTTTCCTGGAATATGGAGGTGGATAAAGAGGAGAGACTATTGGAGCAGAGTGGGAAAGAGAGGACGAGTGAGAACTCCCCGAGGTCCATGTAATTGATGCACACACACATATGTTACACCTCCCATATGACTATCCTGGGACAGCAAATACACCTTTCACACCACAGCCAAGCCCTGTTGAGGAAACAAACCTCCAGACAGTGCAGGATGTACTTGAAAAGGCTAAAGGGAGCTGCTGGCAGTGTTTGCTGCTGCATGAGCCAAGCATCCTGCCACAGGGGGAAAAGCATCTGCCCAAGGCATTTCTGCTCCCCAGACTGCTGGGGAAGGAGGCAGGCTTGGATGTCACAATGCTGTTCCTCCTGCTCCAGCCCCCAAAAGCCACCTCCTGATTTCTTGCCTGTCTGTGACTTTGATTTTCACCCATAAATTAAGCAAAGCGCTGGTGCTTTAAGGGTTCTTTCAGTGTACGCAAGGGCAGGGGCTTGGGAGCCTGGGGAGGGATGAGACTCAGCGATCTGCTGTTTTCCCAAGAGGAGACTTTGCTATTTTCACAACTGCATCTCTGCCAACTCAAGCAACCAAGGGAGAGCTCAGCCAAGGGAGGAGAATCAGCAAAGGTGCTCTGGGGATGTAGCACCCACACAGCCAAGTTTCTTTCGATTTTCCAGGCAGGGACAGGAATGTGCCATTCCCACCAGCTGAGCCAGGCCGGAGAGTGGAAAAGCAGGCTGACTCTTGCACAAAGCCCACAGCACAATGGTAAGCAGCATCATGATCATGATCATCCCCAGAAGTACCATGGTGCCAGCACTGCCTGAAATCACAGCCACTCACTTCCTCCAGCCCATCCAACCCAGAGCATCCCACAGAGTAACGTGGACCTCTGAGCAGTGCTTCAGAGACGCGTCTCCCCACCTCACTGGTGTCCAGCCCGTACATCACAGGAGTGCAGTGACGGAGGTGCTGCCAGTTGCCCACAGTACTTACCAAGCACGGCGCCGGGGGCCCAGGAGCTCTGTGACCTTTGCAGGCAGCACAACTGTGTTGTGATGCAGAGGAAGAACCCACGTCCGCATCTCGGCACCGGGAGGGCAGCGCTTATAACGCGCCCCGAGGTCTGACCCTGCCCAATCACCCGGGAGCCGGCGGAGCCCCAGCTCCCCACGCGCAAACCGCACGAGCAGCACCAGGGGAATCGAGCGAGGAGTAAATGATTGTTTCCCATTTACGATGCTCTCCCGGTGGCAGGATTCGCTCCTGGTGGTTTGCTGGGTGACATGTTTGCAGCTCGCTGTGATTTATGGCTGACAATGCTGCCGTGCTGGCAATGAGCATCTTTCTTATAGCAAGAAGGGATCTGCAGCACGAACAGCAATAAATCTTGCCCAAAGAGTGCCTGCGGCATCTCCTCGAGGAGTAACAGAGGTGAGGTTGTATCTATCCCCTCTGACCCATGAGAGACAGAAGGTTTAATTAGAATCGTGATATATTGCACAATAAAACCAAGCTAAATATTACCAAGCCAAACACTGACACATTAGTGGCTATCCTCACAGATGGCCCTGTTGTACCTAGATTACTATACAATTACTATTAACCCCTATTTCTGTGGCTGCCAGACCAAGACACAGGTGAGCTAATGGGTTTGCGTATTCTCCTATGAGGTGTCTATTGTAAATACAGCCACTGGACCTAAGGATACTTCTGTAGATGCAAACCAGACCACGCTGAGGCACTGCACATGATGGACACCAGTAAATTGTTGTCATGGAACTGTTAGAGCAAGTCTAGACGAGGCCATGAGGATGATCAGGGGTGGGGGCCCTGCGGAGGACTTGGGTGTGGTGACTGATGAGAAACTCGACATGAGCAGGCAGTGTGCGCTTGCAGCCCAGAAACCAACCGTATCCTGGGCTGTATCAAAAGAAGCGTGACCAGCAGGTCAAAGGAGGTGATCCTGCCCCTCTACTCTGCTCTTGTGAGACCTCACTTGGAGTATTGTGTCCAGTTCTGGTGTCCTCAACATAAAAAGGACATGAAGCTGTTGGAGCAAGTCCAGAGGAGGCCACGAGGATGATAAGAGGACTGGAGCACCTCCCGTATGGAGACAGGCTGAGAAAGTTGAGGCTGTTCAGCCTGGAAAAGAGAAGCTGCATGGAGACCTTATAGCAGCCTTCTAATATCTGAAGGGTGCCTGCAAGGATGCTGGGGAGGGACTCTTCATTAGGGACTCTAGTGGTAGGACAAGGGGTAATGGCTTTAAACTTAAACAGGGGAAGTTTAGGTTAGATATAAGGAAGAAGTTCTTCACAGTGAGGGTGGTGAGGCACTGGAATGGGTTGCCCAAGGAAGTTGTGAATGCTCCAACCCTGGAGGGGTTCAAGGCCAGGTTGGACAGAGACGTGGGCGACATGGTTTAGTGTGTGGTGTCCCTGCTCATGGCAGGGGGTTGGAACTAGATGATCTTAAGGTCCTTTCCA